AAACAATTACATCTTATCTATATACCATAATGATGTATAAGCTTCTGCGCGTGTGTGTATGTGTGTGTTTGTGTGCGATTGTGCGGAAATTACGTGCGGACGCTGTTGGACCAGATGGTCAGCGTTGATTATGGCACAGTTTTGGTGCCTACGTCGCGATGGCACTGGCAATGCGTTACGTCCGTACGCGTTTTGTGTTGAATCAGAATCAGAATCAGAATCGTTCTAATGTTCCATTTTCGCTTTTGCATTTGACAGACATTTCAAAGTGGCTTTTGAGCACACATGCATTTGCTGTGAAAATAAAAATTAAGTGAAAATGACAACTTGACGGTGAATGGTTTTTGTTTCGCCACGTAAGTCGCTTATATAGGAAACCACATTATTTGCCACATATTACAACGTTTTGTGTCCCCTTGGCGACATTTGCGAAAGAGTGTGCGAACCAAATGCGCTCATACCAAACACCTCTCCACAAGAACAACAATTTACTACACAGTTATGTGAACAGCGATTTGCCTCTGTTTAATAGCACTCTGAATCACAAATTTAAATATTTTACTGCTTTGGATTTGCATTTTCAAGTAATCAAGTTTACAAAATTTCAAAATTTTAAACTTTACAAATATGTTAGTCTATATAGTATCAATAGCACAATACAACAGCTAATCTGGGGGGTGAGAAATTCCGAGTCAGGGTGAAGGTCAGTATAGTAAAACCCTCCATCTTAAAAATTTTCCATCTTCACAAACAAATTTTTTCCAATCAGGCGTACTAAATGGTTCAGGTATACGAAAGCTGATTAAAAGTGACGCATTCAACAATATTTTGATTGACGCTGAATTGAATGCATGGCAGGCAATCAAAGAAGTAATAGGGAAAGTTGGGAAAGCATCGTTCTAACAACTACGATGTTTCTGTCGCAAGGATATTAAGAGCATTCTCGGAATTTTTTTTTTTTTGATTTGTTTGTTTTTTTGGTTTTTGCCAAAATGTTACAACTAAGCGAAAAACATCAAGGTAGGGAAAAAATTTAAAAAGTCATAAAAAAACTGACACATACGAACGCCAAACCCTTTGAGAGTTTTACTATACTGACCTAGTACCATCACCCTGACTTGGAATTTCTCACCCCCCAGACAATAATCCCAGAAATGTTCCACAGTGTAGTCTGTCCTAAATAACATAACCTCAATTGCTAAAAGCATATTTTAATGACATAAATTTCCTATATTCCCCTTTTATGAATTGCGACCCTTATTCATCTCAATCTCATAGAACGATTTAGAAGCAAGCAAATCAATCGATTAGTTTAGCATTTAGTGATTTTTATTTCCTGTGAATTGCTGTTATTATTTTTGCTTGAGTGTCTTACGGCATTGGCATAACTTTTCAGACTTGCCGAAACTCATTTGCTCACATCATTGATTGCCGAAATATTAGTACGGTCACAAGTGGGGGCAGAGGTGTGTGAGCGTGTGCTTGGGTTCCATGAGAGGTGTTGCCAGAAAGTTGTGTGAGCTTAAACTTTTGTTGGCAACAATTCAATAGCGTGTCTGATGTGGCTGTGCATGTGTGCCACACACACTTATGGTAAGCAGTGATATGAACAGCAATATTAAAGACGAACAAAGTTAACGGCAAATCTATGTGCGAGTGTGTGTGCGTATCTCAGGGAAATATGGCTAGGCTAATGTCAGAGTGGAAGCGAAAAGTGATGCTATAAGATGACGCTAATTCTAGCTGCTAGTGTCTTCTTACTGGGGTTTGTCAGAAAACTAATAGGACTGAGCTGATTCAAAAAAATAATTATTGAACCAATCATTACGATTCTTTTAAAAGTGTCAAAATAGGCTTCTTCTGCGTCAATCTAGCGCTGCCAGCGCGATTTCAAACCATTGAAGCCGCACAGAAGACATTCTTTAGGATATCGTTGAGGGCCGAGATGCATGCTGCTTAGAAACCCTCTGCCCTCTCAAAATGCTTGTCTTTCCAATCGGCTGCGATGTCTTTTCGGACCCTATTGACCCTTCGTTTGAGTCTCTTGAGGACTTAAACGTAAAACCTGGCGTTGACGGTTTGTTCAGGAGGAACAAATGCCTTCCCTTTTGTTGGGCGAGGAAACGTCTTTGACGCAGATTTAGCGAGTTTCACCCAGAATTTAATCGCGTACCTCCTCTCTAACGAATGCTGCATTTTCGGCTTTCACCACTCACAGAAGCACTCCGCTCGAAAATGTTTATCCTGGCTCTCCAGGTGATCGGAGATAACAGACCATCCGCTCGTTCGTTAGCTAGGAAAGTCCTGTACCGAATCCAGTCGGTGCACATACGCTTCGAAGTACAGTCGCGGCAGATGAAAATCAGTCCTATTACTTTCCTGACAAACTTTGTATCCCCAGACATGTCAACTACATCCTTCGAAATATAAAACACTTACTCACCTTTACGCTTTCATCCTGATTTCCTGTAATATCGGTTTTCGCTTAAACTGTGGTCGCTCAGTCTACGCATCGCTTCTCGCTTCCACTCTGACATCAGCCTTCGTGCATGCCTTCGAGCTATAGAGTGTTGCCTGTACTATATTACATAATATGTGTACTATGCACATCATATGTTTCGCTTCTGAATTGTTTGTGAGATAATGTTTGCTCTGCTAACATCGACGGAGCAGCGCAAGGATATTAATAATTGATGGAATGTTATTAAATATGTCGTCTTTAGTTCCTTGCAAGCTTAGTTCGTTGATATTGCTTTACTATGTGTCGAGCAAATAACGGAGCTTTTGTGTTGCTATTGTTGCCATATATAAAACCATTTGTGTAGTTTTGAACAGCTTATGTGAACTGCTGGCTTAAACTTTTCACAAAGGATATGTTTGGTATACAAATTTCATCGTCTTCTAAATTGATACTTGAAATTTAATTTTTTTTATATGGAAATTTCGCTAATATTTACCGTTGAATTTGCGAAAGCTTAGCAGCTTTTATATCGACGTTAAGGTACCTATAAGTGCTTATAATGATGGAAATCAGTAATGAGTTGGTTAACCATTAATTAAATTAAAATTATTTTGCTGGAATTCGCAATGACAGTGCGGGCCATTAAATCAAAGTTATGAAATTGAATTCGCACTGTTGGTGCTGCACAAATGAGGTCAATAAAAATAATTTTCAATTAAATTAAATTACAGCTTAATTTACAGTTCAATAAATTCAATATTTTGGTAAACAGTTTGTAAATTTAATTGTAAAATTGACAACGCGGCTTCTGATTGCGCGCGAAATATTAATAATCGCAATGGCATATTTTATATGATGTGTTGGCGCGTACTAGCCTTTCACATGCTCACGTGTCGTTTTAATTACACCAATACATGACAGTCGACGCTGCTGCGGCGTTCGTGGCCGTTGCCAGGGCATACGCGGCGTATGAGTGATATTTCATGGATACGCGACATTACTGTCACTTAGTGTCGCTGTAATTACAACAGTTATTACCATAAGTAATGTAAAGGAAAGAGCATGTAAGCACCACACGCAGAACGTGAAGCGCAATTGTTGCTGAATTGGCAATTAAAGTTAAGCGCCGAACTTCCACTTATATAATATATTTCTTGAATAAATGTCAACTTAATTTAATTGACGTGCATGTGCTTAAGGCGGGACGACGACAACGTTGTGACAGCTCGAACGACTGACTTGCAAAAATATCGCAGTAAAGAAATGCTTTAAAGCGAACAGAAAACAAGAAAAAACGTTTACTTCAGTTACACTGGAGATAGAATATCCTTTACAAATAAGAAAATGATTTTGTTCGGAATTGGAAATGATCGAATTTGGGATCGATATCTCACAAACTGAGTGAGGAAATCACTTATTACAGACGAACACGTCGAAATCGACTCAGCTCAACATGTTGATCGTTTATATACACACTTTATAGGGTTTCTGAAGTTTCCTTCTGAGTGTTACAAACTTCGTGAGAAACTTAATATACCCTGTTCAGGGTATAAAGAGTAAAACTCGAACATGAAAACAAATATACTGATAACAACAAGGGCATATCGAAAACAAATCTTTTCATTGAGTGAATTTAAATTTCTTGTGTCTGTTGGATGAGCTTGAGTGGTTAATGTTATTGGAATTAGTATTGTCTTTTTGACTTACAAAGTATTTTCCGCATACACATTTGTACCTAATATGTATGTATTTACATACTCATATACGTAAATATGTAAATATACATATAGCAACATATAAATAGGCTGCGAGTTTTGTGTTGATAACCGGTGGCGGGGCGAAACCAGAAAGGATCCAAAATACAGAAGAAACATTAAAGCATTCTGACATAAAGTTCCCTCCTTAATTCTTAAATTTGATTTTCGAGAGAAGATTTCTCTATTTTAATTTCGCGCTTTCTGAAAATATCAAAGCCTTCTAAATACACACATACAATTCGGCAGACTTGAGGAAAATCTGTTACAATAAAAACAGCAACGTTCGGTGTAAGCAAATGTTCGTCGCATGCCTACGACATTTCATGTAAGTGCGCTGAGGGATTCAAAGCTGCACGCTCAACGTTGCTGAGATTTGTTCCCGCTGACATGACTAATTATTCTCGAGCTAAGATAAATCTAGCCGTGACGCAACGCAATGAGTGTAATGAAATTGCGCTGTTCAAGACGTGCGTAGATGTTAGAGAATAAAAGGCATTTTTATTGTTATTTCAGTAGGTAAAAGGATTTCTATGTGCTAAGAGATACTCCAGCCATAAATATGGGGTTGCAGTCATCAATGCTTATGTTGAAAGGCTCTTATTTTCGTTGATCCACTGAACCATTAACGTAAGCTTCACTAAACAATTACCAACACAAAAGCCACACAAAAATAATAAAAAAAGTACAAAAACAAAAACAAATAACTAAAGAAATATATAAAAATAGATTTCTCCGCATAGTAGCCGACGGTAGTTATAACATTGTCTTCTTTTTTATTGCAGTGGATAAACTCTACACAATGTGAGCTGTCTATCAGCCGCAACGCAAAGAATATACAAGCATACATTCCCCACAACAACAAAGATAAAGACGAAAAGTTAATGCCAAAAGACAACGCCAAAATGTACGCTATTATACGACCGACCAGTGCATAGTCAAAACCCACTCAACATATTTGGTATTCCAGCGGGTACACACATAAGTAGCGAGGCTCATCACTCAGCGGCAAATCATCTGTCAAAGCTGGGCAGCCAAGACGTTAACAGCTAAGTAACCCAATAAGGCAGTTCGTGCGACAGTTCGAGTCCGCCAACCGTTGTCTGCCACTACACTGAGGCATGTTTGGGTCACAGCCAGCATCCGGGAGGCTGGTCACACGTCTGCCGTGGGCTACACTCATCTCAACTACAACGTCACGCTCGTCATATTTCGATGCCGGGGGCCCAGCCTTGGCTTCTGCTATCGGTAGAGTAGCAGCCAGTACCAGCCACGAAGAAAGCCTACGTAACAAGAGCGCGATTGCGGGTGCGGTGTGGGGTGATGATGCGGACATCGATCCCGCCACGGATTATGTGCCACCCTCACAACGACCCGAAACCTATATTATCACAGTGCTTTTTGCGCTCATCTTTATTGTTGGCGTTTTAGGTAATGGCACTTTGGTGATAATATTTTTTCGGCATCGCTCCATGCGCAACATTCCCAACACGTAAGTTGCTAAAAGCATTTGTGCTTTTTCCAGGACGCTGAATTTAGCGAGCCATTATGTGGCCATAAATGTAGGCTCCTTAAGTTGAAGAGAGTGGTGGTATTTTCACCAAGTGTTAGATGGCTTATATTTTATTTATGCATTGACAAAATGTTTTTCTAATCAACCGTTTTGCTTGAAGTGAACAGTTCAGGCCACAGTGTTCAATATTATCCATTAATAACCGGAGAATAGGTTACTTTATTAGATATCGTTGATAAAATGTTTTCCAAACATTTAAAAATACTCTTTAATAACAATTTCTGAAAATTTTGTGTGGCCTAACAGCTTGCCAGACTGTTGAAGCCAATAGAAATATGAATTAAAATAATATTTGAAACAAGCAGGTTCATGCCCATTTAAATTGAAATTTTATGAGCGTTTCGGCTTAGGAAAAAATTGGGGTTAAGAAAAATTCTCATACATCTACATAAATAAATAAAAATTAATCGCCAAAATGTATAAACGCTCATAACTTTCATACCACTGAATCAAATTTGACAATTCTTTTTTTAATGTGCCCGTTGAGGTTCAAGGATGGTTTTTACGGCAAGAAAATTTCGAATAATTTCCGGGAAACCCCTGAAAACAGCCCTCTTCTTTTTCCCATACAAACGAACGAATGTTTGTTTGTTAGTAACGCTAAGAGAACGGCTGCACCAATCTTAATGAAATTTTCAGAGGTTATTCGCTGTGGATCGGGAAAGGTTTAAACATAAAAATACCTTATACAGGACGAAAAGTCGGAAAATTGGATAGTTCCAAAAAAGTAACTCTTTTCCATACACTTTTTTTTAATTTTTCTTTGTTTTGTTTTTCAGTATTTTGATTTGTGAATTATTTGAATCGTTCAATTTCGGTCGCTTGCTTTTTTATTCCGGCTATTCAAAGAAAAATTATTGAAAATTATTCACTGAAAACTATACATACATACATATGTGTGCTTCACGCAAAGTGATCAATTGCAGATTGAAATTTGCTACGGCGTTTTTTTTGCGAGCAACGTATGGCAGCCCAAGGCAAGGCAAGGCAAGAATAAAAGGCACTCCTAGGATGCGATGACATACTTGCGGAATTATGGATCGCGGTCAATCAACAATTTCAAACAGCAGTTATGATGTTTGATGGTGCTGTTGGATGCTAGATGTACTCTGTTGAGTGGCAAAAGAGAGGTTTGCCACACGTACACACTATTCTTTGGATGGTGGTTACACCAGATCAAATTGATGAAATCATTTCTGTGGAAATTCCTGATGCAGAAAAGATCCAGTATTAATCGAAGTGGTGAAAACCAATATGATTCATGGACCTTTCGAACATTACAATCCCTTTTCGGTTTGTATGGCTGACAATAAATGCACAAAACACTATCCACGTGCTTTTCTTTCGGAAACACAAACTACAATTGATGGATACCCACTCTATCGGCGCAGCTCATCAGACGACAATGGCAGAACATTCAGCATTTAATTTAGAAGAATGAATATCGAAGTTGACAACTCATGGATCGTACTATATTCCCCACTAATTCACATTCAAAACTCATGTTAATGTTGAGTATTGCAGTTTGGTCGATAAAATACGTTTGTAAGTACGTCACTAAAGGAAGCAACATGGCGGTTATTGGTCTTGAACGAGATGAGATCAGCAAGTATCGAATGGGTCGATACGTGAACTGCAATAAAGCGCTTTGTAGGATATTTACTTTTGCAATTCATGAACATTTTCCGACCGTTGTGCGTCTCGCAGTTAATTTGGAGAACGGCCAAAGAGTATATTTCAACTCAGAGAATACAGTACAGCCAATTAAAACATCGCCAGGAACAAAATTAACATTTGTGAGTTTTTCTCAACTTTCGCCAGTGATCTCTTTGCGAGAACATTGCACTATTCGAAAATATCTTGACATACATGGAATGCATTGTCGAAGAAATAGTTAGGCAGAAAGGAAGGCAAACCAGTAGATTGACATCCAGGTGTGTTCTCAACTAATTCCTTGRGACGAATTTATACAATCCACCCGTAAAATGACGATGGTTTCTACCTTCGATTAATGTTCGCGGTTCAACTTCATTTGTGTCGTTGCGCACTGTGAATGGTACGGTGTGTGCAAGTTTTGGAGAAGCAAGCCAGCGAACAAAAATAATGTTACCGAAGACATTTTACATCGTCTTCGCTAAAAATTGTAAATGGATCAATTCCTATTGATACTTCCAGTGGTTTGATATCAATTCCATTCGCCGTTTGTCAATTCACGAAAGATGAACTCATCAGGAATATTTATCCGAACATTAGCCAAATTATAGTAACTACGATTCCTGAAGTACACGCGCAATGCTAGCTGTGAGAAATACCGATGTTGTTGACTTAAACTGGAAGATTCAAAGTCAAATTCCAGGAGACTTGCGCTTGTATAAAGCGAAAATATCGTCTTGAAAATGAAGACTACGCCGTGAATTTCAAAATTTATTGGAGAGGCTTGGTATGCCACCGCATCATTTTTCGTCTCAAAGTTGGAACTGTCGTTATTGTGTTCCGCAATCTGCGCTATCGAATACAATGCTTGATTCTATGAATTCCTGTGAGTTTTAATGATTTGCCATTTCAGCTCAAACGTATTCCACTTCTAGTGAAAATTGCATTTGAGGTGACGATCAACAGGACACAACTTGATTTGCCAAGTTTGGAAGTGCTATGTTTTTCACACGGTCAGATATATGTACATACATACGTGGCGTGCTCACGAGTTTGAAAACCATCTTTCTGTATACCGAAAGAGAAATCAAAAAATGAGATTTATCAAGCAACGTTACATTGAAAAAAAAATTAAATGATAAATTTAACTTTCTTTTCATTTCAAAACACATAATGTCACGCGGGACAACGGCTGCGAGGTCAGCTAGTTTCTTAAAATATAAAGACTTCTTTTGTGAGTTTATATTGCTCTCTGACAGACTTAACTTCTCATAACTTCTCTCATATTTATTATATTCCGACTTAGTGATGGCCCCATTCAAATTCAAATTCGAATCGAAAGATCAACAGTAAAAAGCTTTGCAGCGGTCATCTCCATAATTCTTCCAGCACTCGTAGACCCAAATACTATGACACAAATGCCCACAATTCAGCTTGTCTAGAAAGCAAAATACGTCTTTACATATGTGTATATGTCCAACATTAATGGTTTCAAATGGCGTAGATCGAATGTCAAGTATGCTCTTTGGCTATTTAAGGGCACACAAACACATTTGCGTTCATCTTATGAGTGTCTTTCAGAAAAGTTAGTTGCCGACAGTGATTCCTCGCTGTTGCATAATTACATAACTGTTTTTGAGAACTCGATACAAGCGCGGCTCGATCTGCTGGGACCGTCTGGTGTGGGTAATACGATTGATGGCAAAACTCGTTCGAACGCTAAAATTGCAGAGATAAAAACTTGCTATTCCTGCTAAAAAAAGGCCAATTCACTCTCGATCCCTTATTAACTATTCATTTGCTTTAAATTGTGTGTTGAGCTCGATAAATGACGGTCATCATCGGTGTCTGCAGTTATTTGCGAAAACGAATAACATTGCTTTAAGGCCAAACACAGGCGAAGCTATGTTGATTTTATGTATGCCAATGCGGTCGTCTAGTGCATTGGTAATCCAGCATTTATTCATAACTACACATTTGCTATTCCAATTCTTCAGAGTAATATCGCTGTGCTGGGCGCCAAGCCACACCGTTCAAATAAAAAAATTCTATAGCTTCAGTGGCGCACATATAGCGGCAAGCATGCAGAATAAAAATCCATAAAAGAATACCGCAAAGTAGCTATTTCCTCACTTGGCGCTGGCAGCAGGTTGTACACCCGCACCGATAGAGTCACGCATACAGTGGAGAACGTCTGTTTTGTGCCGTACCTCATTGTTAATATTTTTGCTCCGCATCGTTACTTTGATGTGTGCGCCTGCCGCTTATCGAAATCGCGTCACACACGCCTGCCGCTGCGATCAGCCATGTGTGCGATTTTACTCGTTCGTTTCGTTACTTTTTGACGTGGAGCCGTCTCGCTTCGCTGCCAATATAGATGTTTCCTCATTTCATTTGGTTTGCTTTTTGTTGCTGATACTGAAATTTTCGCGAATGACAGTCTGTTGGAGCTGTGACTTTAGTTTGTGCGTTGATAAGCCGCTAAGAACCTTCGCTTTACCGTTTTCAGAACTTTCGTTCGAATGAGAGCCCTTGTTTCCGTCTCATCCATTTCGACGCTTTTTCTGTACTTTTGGTACTTTGATATTTGTTATACGCGTTAGAAGTTGAGGAGCCACTCCAGTAATTGAAGGAGAGAGTATCATCAGAGCCGCTCCTGGGGCTGCAATTTATCTGTGACTCATATACGTATGCCGAAGGGTTGGCCTGGGCGTATGAGTGATATTTGTGTTTATGTATTTTTAAATTGTCTTGCATTGTCGCTCATACGACTTGTGGGATGCAACACCCAAATATTCGTTGCGAAATGAAAAGCCGAAAATCCGCAAAAAAGGGAAATGCCCCAAGGGACTCATACATACTTACAAAATGTTCACCGAGAATTTAGATACGAGTGAAGAATTTTACAAGAAGGGTAGAAATAAATAATTTAAATAAATATAAAGGTTTTATTCTTGATTAAATTTATTGTTGCGTCCTTTAAATTAAATATTGTATAAATTAAATTTTGTATTTTTATTTTCTTTTACCAACCTGTTCTTTCGCCTTTTACAATGTGTTGCAGTTACATTCTGTCGCTGGCCTTGGCCGATCTGCTGGTCATTACCATTTGTGTGCCATTGGCCTCCATCGTCTATACACAGGAGAGTTGGAACTTTGGCGCCGAGATGTGTCGCATCAGCGAGTCCTTCAAGGACATTTCCATTGGCGTTTCGGTATTCACACTGACCGCCCTGTCTGGCGAACGCTATTTCGCCATTGTGAATCCGTTGCGCAAACTGCAGGTGAGTGCCACTGTGGGTTGCTAGCAAATGCTGCTCATGAATAGTACGAGCTGAGTTTCGCATCCTTACTTTGCATATATATGGTGGCATTACATTCATTCTTATTTACATTTTTGCTTGCTTTTTGTTTGCAGACAAGGCCTTTGACCGTTTTCACCGCATCAATGATCTGGATAGTGGCCATTTTGCTGGCGGCGCCGTCGTTTATTGTCTCCGATCTTCAAGAGATACATATTCCGCCAAGCAGGAATAGTAAGAACTTGACAATTGTGATTTGCTCGCCGTTCGGACGTTATCGCCCCAATTATAAGTCTTATTCTAAGTGAGTTTAGTCAAAACATAAGCTTTAAAATGACAACAGTGGAGTTTTACAAGAAAAATTTCACTTATTTGTACATTTTGCAATTTTACCTTCCTTCCCAATGCTTAAATTTCTCTTTTTATCACCCTCTGTGCTCTCGCGGAAACACGAAAATACAATAACAATAACAATCACAAGCCACACGCTTCAAGTTTGGCCTAAACTATTGAAGCGCGTTCAGTTTTATTGAAATTTCATGACTGTATGGGTACAAAAGAGTCGTTTCAAAAATAATGTGCTTGTTTGACAAATTCTACTCAATTTACTTTGAGACCTTATCTGCACAAGAATGTCATTTTCGTTTCCGCTTCTTTGTATTTTCTAATGCTATTGTACTACCTTGGGACGTGCAATCCGATTTGTGTAAAAGCGTGAAGACATCAACGTGTGCAGGCTTGTTCTGGATACACCTGAGTACACATTTATTCAATCACGTTGTTTCCAGAAATACACAACAAATACAAGTTTAATTCGACACGCTTTCACAGTTTGCCAAGACAGGAGCCCGGAAACTTTTCGATCTACATAATCAATATCAGAAACACTTGCTTCATTTACCAATGATAATCTATCCTCACCTACGCTTAAAGAACTCCTGCCAGGAATGTCTTAGACTGGCGTTCATATTTTAAAGTTCATATTTACAATGGTCTCTCTGAAATCAAAGTTTATTTTATATTTCTCCTTAGTTTACTTTTCTTTTCATCTCATTCTCTTACAGATACACAGTGATCAGCAAGGCGATCATCTATTATCTGCTGCCGCTGTTCATTATCGGCGCCCTGTACATATTAATGGCCAAACGTTTGCGCACGAGTGCACGCGAAATGCCCGGCGAGGCGTTGGGTATGCAAAGCCGGTCGCAGGTGCGAGCGCGTCGTTACGTGGCGCGAATGGTGGTCTCCTTTGTTGTGAGTAAGTTGACGCACGAACCAAATCAAATAATGTGCAATCGCTCTACGAATGCAATAATAGCAAGTAGATAAATTGGTATGGGTGGGCAAGGGGCTGTGTGTGGGCTTGGAAACAGTTATGCAATATGCTGTGTAGTATTGATGTGCAGAGGGCTTGGAGAATAGTCGTGCTTAATTAAATCTGCTCCGGCACACAAACGAGCCTGCGGGTGCAAGGCAGGCAGCGAGCGACTGAGGATTTTAGTGTGAACAATGTGTTTCCTGTTGGATTTGTATTACGTAAAAGTTTTATTACCAAATATGGCACAACAAATGCTGTTAGCGCATGTAAAGAGGTCCATTTGCTCTTCAATATTATTCTTTCGCCCTAAAGTGGTCATAGTTGCATTTCATATGTTTGAAGAATGAACTTCGCTTATTCGAGCATCTAAATTTTAATACCATAATTATTTTCATCTATTAACAAAAACGTTCGTTTATTGTCGCTTTACATACAGTATTTAGTGAAAATTTTAAGAAAAGTTGCGACAATGATTCCCATGAGCCGCAAGCTTTTCCTGGTTGACTGCAATGCAATTCTGCACCTTGACGTTTAGTGTTCACACATAAAATGGTGTTGCCACACCAAGGAACTTTTTTGCTTTGGGTTGCCAGTTGGATTTGTCAACATAACTAGTAAAAACTCGGTATGCAAGCGTTGTCAGCCGAAAGGGAGCCATTGAAATATTAAAAAAAAAAAAATTGAGGAAACAATAAATACAGTATTTATAAAAAATCAATGGAGAAAAATGTCGATGTCTAACCGTTTATTTTACCTATCATTCTTTGTAGTATTTTTCGGCTGCTTCTTCCCTTACCATGTATTCGAGTTGTGGTTCCACTTAAATCCTACGGCTATAGATGACTTTGATGACTTCTGGCATGCCGTTCGCATAATAGGATTCTGTGCAAGGTAAGCAATGAAAAAAAGTGTGCTGCAACGGGTAAAGTAACAGTTAGAGGTTTATGCGTATACGACCATATGGGCACAATAGAGCTTGGGTTGCGGTGCAAATCTATAGATATTTGATAGAATATATAACAGCTAGCAGAAAGGTGAAGACGAGGTGTTGGAAAAAGCCAGGGTATACACATTGTAGCAGATTTCCTATAATATAGACTTCGTTCATAAAATGTTTACCGTTTTCGTCGGACCGATTTTGTATCAGATGGCCAGAGATCACTTGCCTTAAATTCTTACTCTTGGCGTTGCGCTAACTTGACCTTAATGGGTGAAACATTGTGTCCTGTACACATATAGGCAATGTGACGGCTATTTCGAGCTCACAGGTGACAATGCTAACCCGCAAATCCAACATTGATTTGCATATCTCGAATCTTTCCGATCTTCCTGTATTTTCCACTTCAACGCCTTGTGTGCTGATATCATTGAATTTGTTGCATTCCTGTACCTCACCAGTCATGCAAGTTGCTGAGCGCAGGGTCGTGTTGCTTCAGAAGCCACTGCTCATAACCACATTCGTTTGAGATTTTCTTCAGTTTTTATATTGTCACGAGAAAGTAAGTAGCATTTGCAACTGAAATAGAAAAAGTGGCGCTTTTATTGGTGTTGTTGCTCAAATGTATGCAGATTCAAAGGGGATACTGCGCGAGAAGCAATTTTATATAATTAATCCGGATAGTTCTATTCAGTTGCTCTTGCGAAATTTTTATTGGAGAACGAGTGCATTATAATTAAATTAAAGTAGTGGAATATTTTTTAAGTATGCTCAGTAATTGCACAAAATTAAATAGCTAAGGAAATCGTATTCGCATTCGTATTCGTCCCCTATTTGTTCACTTTTATTGAGTAAAGGTAATGCGCTTGAGAAAAATAATTAGGAGCTGAATGGAGATCTAAGACTTGCCCTCAACAGCCGAAGTCTAAGAAAATGTAGGAAATGTAATTTTCATGCACAGCGCTCATAAGCTATCATCATTGCGCACTAATTAAATTTCTTCGCTGATCGCCACCATAACATTTCTTTTATTATTCGCAGTTTTTTGCACTCATGCGTCAATCCCGTCGCATTGTATTGCGTGTCCGGCGTGTTCCGGCAGCACTTCAAACGCTACTTGTGTTGCTTGTGCATTAAAAGACAGCCGCGCATTCGCCAACACTCCACAGCGACGGGAGTGATGGACACGAGCGTCATGTCGATGCGGCGCTCCACCGTCAGCAACTACAACCGCGCATCGATGCACATCAACAGCAACAGGGGTGGCACCAATGGCGGCGGTGGCAGCGCTGAAGGCGGGTCCAGCACCAGTACAAGCTTTCAACGGCAAGCCTCAATGCCGCTGTACCACAGCGTCACGCTGCAGAATAACGGCGCTGGCGGCGGCACCCACGCCGCTGGTGATAAAAGGTGAGATACGGTCGTCATGATGCTGGAAGCGGACGAGTTTCTTTAAGTATGTAACGCACTGCGCAACACTCGTGATCATAGCAGCACCCACACTCAAACACATGCGCACACAATTGTCCGTTGTGCCATCACATGTACTACGTGTGCCACTTGATGGGGGCTTAGTTAGTTTAATGAGTAAAGTGTAGTGTTATTGTTGTACATTAATAGAGTTATTGTAAAGGGGAATAATAACATTGTGTGGTGCATTTAAATGCGCACTAATGAAGCGTTCGAGCGACTTAAAGCGGGAAAAGGTGAGCAGACAGTGTTACCAGCTCGCTTCACTCCTTAGGGCGGCAACATAGTGCAGCTGTGAGTTAATCAGTACCATAACGCTGCCCCTCACTATGGTTTAATCTTAAGAGGGACACTCCAAGTGGTATTATGCCTACGGTGATGTTATATTTAACTGTCTTTGTGAATATTATGAAGCGGTAGTGATGCTACCGTTCGTTTGTTGCAAATACACCAACGAGCAAAAGTTGAGTATGGCGTTTTAATAGCCTTTCCAAAAGCGAGTTTTATGAAGTGTACGTGTTCCTGATATATTATATGTACATATGTAATTTTTACCAATTAAATATTACCACTTTGCTCATCAGTGTATAAACAAATAGCCTAATGTATATATATGTATAATGAAATTTTGTTTAATTGCATTAAGAAACCAATAACCAAATAGTTTCGCACAATGTTTAGTAAATAGCTTATTAAATAGTTTAGTGATTATATAAGAATATGGAAATACATAAAAAATTACACAAATATCTTGTCGTGTTGAGCCACGCTCAAAAACACTTCGCCTAACTGTGAATTTACTGCTAGAAGTAGAGTTAAGACTTTTTACATTAAATTCGGTTGTTGTTATTGTGTATGAGTATTTGTATATGTGAGTGTAATTACTAATTCTCTAACAGTGAATGTATATATTTGCATAAATTGATAACTTGCCTCTTTGTGTAGTTGTGAGTACGCTTGTTAACTGTATATAAAAATTTCAAATCACAACTGAAATGAATCCCGTACTGGAAGTTGCGATTCTGAGCGGGTATGTGCATGAACACATACATAAACACGCGCTAAATACAGTTTACGCACGCACACATGCATACATATACACGTATATACAGATATGCGTTATTGTTGGGGTGTTACACTCAAGCAAACTGTTTAATTTACTTTTGTCACGTCGATATGGCAGCATTCCCGATCCATTCTAACACATTCTTCCTTGTTTGCTAGTAATTTAAGCTAGTAAGGAATACACACACTCACACACACTTGTGTATACCTATACACATACTTGTAAGTAAATATAAGTAACCTGAAAATAAAGAATGAACTCAAGAGACGCGAATACATAAAAACGCCCAGGCCTTTTTCTCTTATTCTAAATGATTTGTAAATAATAATAAAAAGCCGTTAAGTATAATACAGCAAAGGGTGAGCGCATTGTTGTTTATCACATTACATGCAAATCTGCCATAATTTATTGCAAAACACGCGGAAGGATTCATGAAATGGAGCTCTTGTACTACGCCCACTTCGGCGCACAGAAGGTTAATGACTGGAAATTGTATCACCGTTCCACGTAAAGGAATTAAGGCCTTCTGTTTGTGCACGTACTTGTAAACACGTTTGTTGAAAACTGGTAACTCTTTTAACCGTTTATGCAGAGGCGACCGCCAGAGTGTGCGGCTTAGTTGTACAAACGTCTCTCGCCTGCTTCGTTAAATATCAGGTGCTGTACGCTCTAGTGTCATGCGTCAAGTCCACCAGGAGAAGCTGCTTAAAGTTTTCAATAAATATCTACTACTAGATAGAAATATCTTCTGTCATCAAACAAACAGTCGTCGCACTCGTGACTTGGCTCTCACGTCACTGTTGACGGTCATAACATTGAAATCGTAGATAATTTCGTCTATCTTGGAACCAGTATCAACACCAGCAACAATGTCAGCCTGGAAATCCAACGCAGAACAGCTCTTGCCATCGGATTGAGTATACAAATGAGAGTCCTCTCTTGGCGAAAAAAAAAAACCAAACTCTATAAGGCACTTATTATTTCCGTCCTACTATGTGGTGCAGACAACAACTGATGAGTAGAAGTTGCGAGTTTTCGAGAGAAAGGTTCTGCAATAGATTTATGGACCTTTGCGCGTTGATCACGCCAAACGGAACGACGAGCTGTATCAGATATACGACGACATTGACATAGTCCAACGAAGTGCTTTCAATCATATATAATATATATATATAAAGAAGACTTATTAAGATTAAGTTCAAGAATGAAGTTGCTGAAGGCAACAATTTCATAGAGCCATGATTGTTCAGCTTAAAGAAGCTTAGACCGATTTTCATCAGCTTTAACAACTTTTGTCGTTCTCTTTTTAACGCGTCATTTGAAAAGTTTCATTTTATTTTTGCTCTTTCTGTTTTGGGCCTTCGCGAGCTGATGGTACAATATGTTTGGTTGTTATGATGTTGTTAGCAGCATATCTATGTAAAAAGCTGTATGATTATCTATTGTCATTTGACCAAGAGCAATGCTGGTTGTTTTCTGTGTTTGCACAGTTCGCTTGAATTTGCTGACCCTCCAGCGAATATATTTTTACATCGTTCCTTTATTATCCTTCACTCTGCAGATGAGCACAGCTGATTTGATTACGTTTTTTATGTGCTTTCCCCTTCTCACCCCACAATCACACATACGAGCGGCCTTTTTCACAAATATAGTCGACGCCCACACGCACGCACCCTCACAGCACAATAAGTTACATATGTAAATATTTTCGAAAATTTTCTCATTCAAAACCGTGCAACTCTCTCACTCTTTTCACATGCACAGTAGTTGGTGCAAAATAGTGTTGTCCAGCAGTAAACCAACGGCAAAAGCGCAAAAAAGTTAGAATGAAGCAAAAAACAAATCAGTGTTGTTGATAGTAAAGTTGGATACTAGTTTTCGTTAGCCCGCCGAAATTCACGGACGCACATAGCTTGGATATGTTTACAATATATTTGCTAATTTAAGGCTTAAATGCATTTCAGATACTCTTTGGATAGCTTGGAGCGTTACTAAGTCGCGGCATTTCATATATAAGTATATTGGCAATATACATATGTACATGTAGGTGTGTACGTACGCATATGCAGCGATGTTGTTGGATGCAACTAAAATTTTATTTATTGTATTAAACAGCGCACTGGAGCGCTGGTCGAGCTCTGTTCGGTGGGCGCCTGAATTGGATCTTTAAGCCTTTGAGAAAACCATATTAATTGAGGAATATGTACATAAATACATATGTATGTCAGTGTGAAATTAAATATTGAAAGTGTAAAATGCATATTTTGTAAAATGTAATCGAAAATAAAGAAATTTAAAACAGGCAAGCAAAAATAAATATTATTGTTTGGAAATGGAATTTCGTAGCTGCTGAATTCATCACAAAACATTGTGATTTCGGTGAACATAAACAGACTGTGGTTGCGAAGTCATAAGTATTGGGTCTTTCACTAAGTAATTTAGTTTGATGACAACAGCTGATGTTATTGAATTTTTTCGCAGCCAATTTAACTCTTAACCGCTTTACCACTATATGTTTGGTCACCTGACATAGTAAGACTTGTTTGTAAACAAAAAATGTTCTTAACTTTTTTGGAATGGGTTTAGCTTCCTGTAAAGATAAATTAACTAAAATAGTGATTTTGGCATATTTTACTGTTTTACTATCAAAAGGGTTAAAAATGCAGTACAAGCAAGGCGAAATTAAATAATGGCAGAATGGGTTAAAGGATCTTAAAGGAATTGTTTATTTTGAGAATTTGCTCGACGAAACCACGACTAATCCTGAAGTGTATGGTGATCAGTTTGACAAATTACATGATCCAACAAGAAGCCAGAATTGAACAATAGACAAGATGTAGCATACCAGCAGGATAATGGGAGAAGTGGTCCGAGCCGATGTTAGAACCTCGGAGCGTACGCACATCTAAAACTCTGCAGATGGATCTGGTTGATGGCTTTTTGATCCAGAGACAGCCAGATAGCTTGATGGACTTTCTATGCTAGAATCTGGAACTACAGGTGACCATATTTCGGGCCCCGGTGAATTCGATCTTTGGTCACATCGTCCTTCTCTTCCGTCGGGGCGTGGGCGCAAATCAGCGATGTGTGGAAGAACTATGCTTTGATGCGGATTGTGGCTAGACGTTCATCCAATGGGGCGAATGTCAGTAATCGGCAACGGAGTCTCTCTTCCACCACGAATCCCACACCGAATTTGCGCTCCTTTATATGGCCACTGTAGTAAATACCACAAGGACTTACTCGCCTCAGTCCTTGTCCCGTCCATCGCATTTCTTGGACGGCAGTGATGTCCGCCTTTGCTCTAATGAGGATATCAACCAGCTGGACAACGGCACCTTCCCTGTTAAGGAACCGGACATTCCAGGTGCAAGCCCTTAAATCGTTATTATTAGTGCATTCGCCATGGTCGTCCTCAAGGGTCTCTCATGCGAGGCTGTTTATGCTTTTTCATTGGTAGTGTTTTTTACGTGGCGGGTCTCAAACCCAGCGCGCAACCCTTTGAAAGGGATGTTTCGCCTCTCACTTTAGCTCGCCTCTGGCCACTCCCAAGTGAATGGCAATCAGAGAGTTATCCTCAGTTGCGTGAACCTCCACACATGAGTGTGCTACCGCATCTACCATATTCTCGAGACTTAGCACCATCGGACTAATACTTGTTTCGGTTTCTGAAAAATGTTTTGGATGAGAGACCTTCACCTCAAATCAAAGCTTATCCGAAAAAGATAAAAGGTATTGATTTAAAATGGAAAAAATCTAATATCATAAAATGCTTTCCACAATAAATAAATCGTGCTTAAATTGCACTAAACTAAGGAAATTACTTAGTGAATGACCCATTATGTAATGCAGTACGTAGAAGTTGGTAGGCATGTGCCTTGTAAAAAATGCCTGAGTTTGAAAAGTGCTTACAAATATTGAAAATGAACGAAAATAATTGTTTTGACTTTGTAACTTCGGTTATATACCCGTGAAAAGTAAGCAAAAACAAAAATTGAAATGAAAACAAAACGCGAAGGAGTTAACTCTCTGCAGGCAGTGATGGCCGCCATGCAAAAGCCAAAGCTGGAATTTACGTTGGATTTTGATAGAATAGCTCTGAAATAATTAGTAACTCAGCGAAAACTGTGCAAGTGTGTTTTATAAGCTGTTTGAGCAAATGCAAAACTGACTGACAGTATTCATAAATCTACCAATTTGCGCCTCTTCAAAATTATCCCTTTTTATTTACTTGCGAAGTTGTGCGTCTGACGTAACTCCTGTCGTGTTCGTGTATTACCTGTAGAGAATTGAAGCGTACTCACACATGTTCATGCATACACTGGCACAGTTCTTACACACATTGACAAATTAATGCGATTCATTTAATCCTCGTCGTTGTGTCTTAAGGATGTAATAAATTTGAGAGCCAAAGAGCTGTCAAACTAACTAAGTACAGACATTTAAATGTTCTTAGCAGTTTGTATTTCCTTACACACAGTCACACATATATACATACGTAGACGGCCTTTTATATTTTGGGATTAGAGCACAACGAAATCAATGAACGAAATTTTTTTTATCTTTAAATATTCTGCATTGAGATCTATTTGCACGTTTGCAGCTGTCGAAAAAGTTGACCTCTTAGTTTATTTTTTTGTACGAGAATATAAGGAAGTTATTCGGTGCCAAGTCAGGACAATATGGCGGATGACACACCAAATTGATGTCTTAAATGGTCAAGCTTGCAGTTGCTTCGATTAATGTATGAGAGCTCGCATTGCCGTCGTGAAGAGTGTTCCTTTTCGGTGGTTAGCTTTCCTATTTACTTGAAGTAAATTGGCAAAAAAAATGTTTTCTGCTGAAAATTGAGAAAACTATTGTATTTTCTTTCCATTTTTTGACTGAGATAAATATTTGAGGTAACTGTAAGGAGTACAGTTCGTATGTCAATACCTTTGGGTATGTATGATATTCAAAATGATGAAATTTTACGACAAAGCAGTGAAGGGCCAGATTGCAACACTAGGGTTCCCAAATTCTGAAATATAAAAGGCAACCCACCAATATGAGCACAATATCCGCCTGTTCATTTATAAGCTTTGCATAAAAGGAAATACGACTATTTTATAATTATTTTCTATGACGTAATCTCTGCTTGAAAATAAGCAAATAAATGAAATAAAATGCAAAACCTTCATATTTTAACTGTTTCACTAAATAAAGGTAAGCAGTAAAATTCGAAATAAAATTAATATTTATTACAAACTATGTACGACATACAAAAAAAATAATAATTAGTATTAAACGTTTCTTTCAGGTTTAAATTTTCCAACTAAAACACTTTTAGTTGAATATAAATCAATTTGCTAATGTGACTCATTTAATTTTCTCTTAAACAATTAAATAATTACCTGAAATAATTCATTGAGTAGAGAATAACTGAGTTTGTAATTAATTTTTGTACTTTTCAGAAGTTTCGAAAAGGATCAAATTGTTACAGCTGCAGGCTTTTTGCTCCTTTTTATCATCGCTTTCTTCTAATCACGCATTTGGTTTCCCTTTCCACGCCGGTAGCAAAAAAGAGCTACATTCAGGTGTCTTCTGACGTTGAACAGGTGCTCTCCGATGTCGCATCTCGTTCAAATTGTACTTTTATATAATATATATACAGCGTAGGTACGTATGTATGTAAGTTCACCTTTACGTGGCAGCGCTCACCTTTAGACACATCCACATGGATTTGATTGGTTTTACGTGTGTGCACATAACCTCATACAAGGTGATAACGACGGAAGCACACAAATTCCCAGACGCCACACCGTTTAATCTGTTATAGCCTTAGTTTTGCAAAAGTCAACGCCTGATTACAAAGAGTTTGATCAGAAGCAAAAGTGAAAAAATATCGGTTTCTTTTGAAGTTTAGTATTATATATTTGAAAGTTCATTTCAGCAGCGCTCTTCTGAGACTTCAGTGCACAAATGAGCTGTTAACAAAGGTTCTTGTAAAATTGAAAGTAAATGTGGTCTCTAATTTTCCAATAACCTCAATCCAATATATGTGAGTGTCTAACGTAGAATCGGTAAATTAAAGACTTTTTTGCTCATGGTTAAGTGATTTACATGCGCCCACTTCACATGACTTCAACTTAACCCGTTGTATATGTATTTTCAAACCGCTGCTGTTCACCGAAATCTCAGTCTCATTGTCATTCTAAACTCTACTTCCTACCTATCACAGTGACCTCTTCAAATCGTCGCAGTGAGAATTGCACGCTTAAAGGATGTTGCTTTTCTTCTTCTTGCTTCTTGCTTTCGATTTTCTTCCTGCAAATCAATTTTCAGAGTGACGAATAAAATGTGAATTGCATTTGATGCTCGAGTAACCAATTGGTTTAGATTTTATATATTATATTTATACACACATATGGTAGCTCGCAGGCACATCAGTAAACGGGGCATTTCAGTAAACGGGGATGAAAGTTCTTGTAGTGCCATAGGAAACCTTTTGGCTGCAAGTTAAGCGAAAAGTGCCGAATCTCGCGTTATTTGCCCAAAAGATGATACAAACCAATTGTGGAGACTTCTGAAAAAGTGGGTGAACAGGAATTCTTTATAAAGCGGCGCCAATCTCCTTTTTGGTTTATTTAAAATGCAAATGTAGTTCTCGTTGACTGGTCTTCTTCGCTAACTAACCACACTTAGCCGAACTCCTTTTGAAAAGTACCACCTTTTGGTGACTATGATATTCACGTTGACTGTAATAGCTTTGAGGGAGCTTACCGATTTACTGAACCAAATCGTTGGTTTACTGGAAATATTGATAGTCAAATTGTATTACTAAAATAGAGTTAATCACTACTGAAGCAAACATTGAGAACACACATTCGCTGTTGAAATTGAATAAACCCAATAAACTCAAATGATATTCGTTAATCGATAGCTGCAGCTGAAAGCTCTCCACCTATTGAGAAGTTAAAGACAGAAGATTAGCGTCTTTTGTTAATATTTTATCACTTTACTCACACTTCGTTCGAGCTCCTCATCCATCTGCGGCAGGTTATTATGCAGCTCCAAAAGTACAGAGGCCTTGTGAAATACACCCACGTGCTCGAGTATCGTAATCAAAAAATTCACCATGTCCACAGTGTAGACCAGATATGTGACGCCCATCAATACAGACACCCAGCCATATTGACTTATTGTGAATTCACCGACCCACAACACCGAATAAATGGTGTGGATTAAAGATATATTTAAAATGAACATATTGAGCAGCACACCCACACCTTACCATTTCAATATGTCATTTATGCGTAAGGCCAAGCTCTGCAGCTGTATATGCACCAACGCCACTTCATCCAGCTCGCGGCTCAATGTGAGACAGCGCGCCTTGTATTGCTTTCGGCAACGCTGATGATCTCGTAGACGTGTCACGGACTTCGCAGATTTAATAATATCGGCCAATTGGCGATTTAACACATTTCCGAAAAGTATAATGGTTTGCATGAAAAAATAGTAGTGACTCATATTCAAATAGAGAATATTGGAGATGAGAGAGAACAACACGTTGCTGATAACGAAGGACGCGTTCATGTGATTTTTATACACACCAAGCACTATGATGAGCCTTAAGGCATCGACGACTACACCAGAGAGCATATTTTTTATGATCTTCATTTCGAAGCGTCGTTGCCACTCGAACGGTACTGGAAAGCGTGCGAAGTAAACGCAACGCAAATGGTTAATGTCCCGTATAAACTTCAAGATATCACGACGCCGCTGCCAATTGTAGACGATGACCAGCGCCACAGCCAGTAAACGCAGTGTTTTGACTGCTATAAAGATATAGAGGACCGGGCGGCCCACACGCTCCTTTTGCAGAAATGTACATACAGCTGTGTAGTAAGTCCAAGGCAATGTTGTTAAAGCCAGCACATTCATAACAGCGGTGTAATATGTGATGAAAGGAGTGATGTACGCTTTGTTGTTGTTGAAATCATAACGGAAATGTAATGTGCCCAGCACGAGCGAGTAACAGTAGTGACCATAAAGTAGCCAATAAGTAATGCGGTACATGCCTGACGAGCGCCGTTGGCCGATTGCTCGTTATTTATAAATCATGTCTATCTACTTTTGTTGATGAACTGCGTTGCCTTGATATCTTTGCATGATAATCTTGATTTGACTGCCTTTTAAGAACGATAGTTTGCACTACGGGTCAATGGTACATAAATCGAATATTCAGCTAATATCATTAACCTTTGGCGTTAAAAAGGACTTTATTGGACGATCAGTTCATATGAGGGAAATATGCCATTGAAATTTTCTGAACGAGTTAAAGCTTACTGAATGGCTTTGTTTAAACTTTATACAGATCTGACTCGATTGAAACATAAATTGGATCTATGTCCGATTAGAAATTCATTCGCCACTAAGTGTACAGCAAAATATTACTTCTATATGAAGCATTCTGTGAGGCGACGAATGTATTTATTTATCCTGCCTTCAACTTTACTAGCACTTTACTCATGTAGTATAAATGTTGGAAATAGTTAATTTATTTGATTGAAAAGTTAGTTTTTGTGTCAAAATTGCTTCTAAGGCAGCAGTCTATATAGCTTATGCTAACCCCTCTGTCTATCAGAGAGCCTTCCGTCTATGCTTGTTATATGTTTCTGAAGTCAATATTTAATAGTTGTTGTACCAACTATTACTGTTGTAACATTTGATGCGTTTGGCAACACTTGTGAATCTTTAAAATGCCGTTATAAATTTGATGCGAATGCTGTTGAATGATGTGTACCATCCAGCGTTGAAAAATACTGTAATTCAATTTTTAGCAGCTTTTGATGTCTGCAGCTCGGTTTGATATTAGTAAAAAATGTAAAATGTGAAGCATAATTTTTGTGATGCGATTACAAAATCCCACACATTTTCATATAACCATTACATGTTTTGCATTAAATCATTAGTTTTGTAGAGAAATACATTGTAGAAATTTTTTTTTAGGAGAGACTAACTCCAACTTTTTAAAATTTAAATAGCCAAGGAGAAAATGTGGAACTTTGTCTTTGGTTAATAATTAGTTCTCTGGCTCAAAGTGAATTCGAAGGAATTTTTTGTTGTCAATTAGTTAGAAGCAAGTTTATTTGCGTACTTGTAACAGCATGTGGAACACTTTCGTGTTAAGCTTTCCAAGAAGTTAATTAACTGACTTGAATTCACCATATTTAGTTTGAATAATTTCTCCGTTAGCTTACCGCTGTCGTATGTGTAATTACGAGACACTAACTGTTTACAGTTGCGTGGGTAAACGCTTATTTAGGAACTTATATTTACGGGACTGATGAAAGCAGTCCCAGAAGTGCCAGCATGAAAGCTGTAAAGCGCGAATTGTTGCGTTCGTCTTCATGGTAAAGCTGCTTCTAGGTAGTGAAAGTCAAACATGACTCTCTTGATTAGAGTGCAGTTGAATTTGAAAGCTGATAAGCCAACGTACAAATTTCTGGTAATCAATCAACTGCTTAAGAGTTTAGAGCCGTTCTATTATATTTTGTAGAATTCAACGGTGAGAGTGTGTGTTTCCTGCGGATAAAAGTAATAAAAAGTTGCAGGCACAAACTGCCTCTTAATCGACCGTTTCCATTTTTCACAGCGATTGATAAATAATTGAGAAAAGCATTTTGCGTTCTGTGCTCGTTTTCCGCTTAACGAGTCAATCCACATTGTCTGAACTCAGCGCTGAATCATATTGTATGAAACGCAGCTAAGCAAACGCTTAAGTTTTTAAATTGATTCTTCTTAATTCCTGGAAAACAATGCTGCCTATGGAATTCCACTGAAATATGAGTTACTTTGAAAAGAGAGAGCAGTTAAAGGAAAATGGGGGACGGCATGGCGTATGAGCGATATTCGCTTCAATGACTGATGAGTTGATTATCTTTTCGTCAAAGCAGACCGGAGTTTAGTTCAACTTAAAATCGCGCTAATTTTGACAAGTTTCACTAAAAATTTGAAGAAAAAGCAATCTTTCTGGAACTGACTGTTGGAATAGTAGTACACATCAATGCGCTCGCAGGTATATCAATGACTGCGTCTGTTTTGTTTCCGCGTTCATATTTTATTTCCAACAACAACTGACAAACATTCGGCGTGCGAAATCGCTCAAAGCGCAAACAAGGAATCTTTAATTTCCCAATGGTGGCGAGCATTTTGTTGCCGAGTTCAAGCAATTTGCAACTACAAATACGCCAAAAGCTGTCGAAAGAATATTTTAGTTAAATACATTATAAATATGCTAAAGTAAGGCACCTAATACAATTGCCTAAACAGTGGTGCATTTGTATTTTTTGTCTTTAACTAATAATTTGTAATAATTTTAGTAACAGTTTACTATGCAATACTATGGTATTGATTTAATGAAAAATCAAAGTTTGCTGATTTGCACTTTAATGGCTTCGTAAGTCATTACAATAAAGTTAAATAGATTTGTAGAAGCCAAAAACTATTGAAATGACTTGCTTCGGAAAATTAGCTGCCAGATTGCTCTACACGCAGCGGCAAAATGCGCAAAATTCTGATAAATTAATTAATTGAACTGTTACCCTGATGCTGTAATTCACTTGCTATATAATGCCTGTGTAACCCGAATTTCAGTAGTTATGCAGTACGTTGTCATAGCTCCGCCACTTTACCTGCTTACGTGGCCGTCAGTCATAAGCCAAATATTTAGTGAGATTCCGAAGAAAGCAAGCATTTTTCATTTCAAGGGAAACCTCATCGCAGCTACCCGTACACACACATACCACACACATGCTTAGCGATGCACACAATCTCCGCAAGCAATCAATTAACAACAGCAACTGTGGCATTCGCCGATAGCCGACAGCGCCTGCCTGTCGTTTGTCTAATTTGTAAGACTGCCAGTGTTCGGCATGAGTGATGGCGTACGGATGAGTTGTTAGGAAGCGACGTGTTGCTTAGTTGCGCCGGTAACCCTGTAGATTTGCTTAGTGTGCGCCGGCGGCTTTTGATTAGCGCGAGGTTTCGTAGTAATTTTCGTGTTGTGTTTTATTGGTGGGGCTTCATTTTCCAGCGCGGAGCGGATTTTTCAATGCCGCTACATTTCCAAGCGATTGCGACAGTCGGCTTTAAGTACACTTGCACATAAATATGCTTGGACGGCAGCTGGTGTGTATTTAATGATTTTGCACTCGATCGCTGTCGGCTGCTCCATAAATTAGACACGTTTGGCTGACGGCTGCCAAGTTGATGTGTTTCAAAAATCGAAAGCACCTCTACCATCTGCTCTACTTTTGAAGTCATTATTTGCTATTGAACTCAGCGCTGATTTCGTTAATTGTTATTGACTAGAAACATTGCTGTATTATGCGTTAATCGGATTTACGTAAAAGCTGCAGATTTTCAAGTTCAAGTCAAAAGCGTATGCTCTATATAAAATATATTAATTCCAAATATGGACATACAAAAATAGTGTGTGCTTCAAGTGCCGCCTCATTCCACAACACATCAGCTTTGGTGGCAGTTTCTCATTTTTGTTGCTGTTTGCAAAAGGTTCAGGTATCCGAAAATATGTAAAATGTGTGATGGAAATTCTCTTTGGCGCAAATGTACACTCAGCCGTTATGTGCTCATTTGTTTACGAATTTCCTCCTTAGCATAATTTTGCAAATTTTCCACACAACTATGGCGACCACAAAAGACCAGAGTCCTTATTTATATGAAATGTTTAGCGATTTGCTGAATTCAACTATGCATTTGCGTCCACACTTGCTTAAATTATTAGCTGAGAGAGGCCTAGGGGGAGGCTTATATGTATGTGTATGTGCGTGATAGCTATTTGTTAGGCTTTTCGGAAAAAGGGATTCCGACTGGATGGTGGAAATTTAAAATTTGCTTTTGTTTTCGTTGTTTTCCGCAATATGCAAATTTAAAAAAAGTTTTAACTGAGTTTGTTCTTTATCTTTCTTCTGACACTTATTATAATATTATATTGAGTAGTCGAAAAAGTCTTTTCGTATTTTGTTAATAGATTGTGTCATCCATAGTGTTGGAAAGGTACATATTTGTTTATTTATTTATTATTATAAAAATATTTAGATATACGAAAAGACTTTTCAACTACACAATTTCATAATAATGCCAGTGACAACTCTGTAAAACGAAAGCGTTGGAAAGATCAGTGCTTTAAAGTTTATATACATAAAAATATTTGAAACTATTGGAGAAAAGAATTTTAAAATCCGTTATGTGATCACTAGTTGCCAAAGGAGTCCTAAGCTGCGGTCCAGCTATGTGTATTATCCCTTAGCAATTGTGACTTAAACTTCTTGCATTAGTTTAACGCCTTGCATCATCTTTTTAAGACTTCAAAACGAAGTTACAAGCTTCTTACTGTTTTCTTTCGAGGGCATATGGTCAAAGAGCAAATACATAAATAATATAAAAACTGACAAAAGTGTGAGGAAATCAAATCTGTGAAAAATCGCCAATGTAAAATATTTCCTTGCAGCTATTGGGCAACAAATTGGCAAAGTTTTCTAGCCTTGTTGCTAAAAGGGCTTTATGCAGTTATAAAAAGAGCCACTCTGTGCAGTTTCCATGCTAACTATTTGCTACTCACATTACTCAGCTCAGATGATTTTTTTTCTTTTTTGTTTCTCAACATGAATTGACTTTATTAAGAATTTGTATTTCTGCTTGTATCGAAGAAAAAAAGTTCGATTAAACTTTCCTCCAATAAAATAATTTTCAAAGTTAACAATTTATTTTATTTCAGTTCAATGCGTTTACGTAAAGGATTTTTACGGTTTTTTAGGCATATTTATCTTCTTAGGGGGTATGAAGAAGGGATGAAATTCCTTTCGTTTTACGCACATAAACGTTATAAAAAAATTATTTCAATATCAGTTATTATAAAAATTTTATTTAATATATTTTT